TTAATTTGCGTTAAAGCTCGACAAGTGTGATTACACCTAAAGCACAAGGAGTGGAAATGTTTCTGAAGTCTAGAAAATAAGCATAAAGTAGGTGAGATTCTATATAAATATAGGTGGGGTTTTTGTCTTACGAAAATTCTATCTTGAAGTTCAATTAATAATTAATTAGTTTAAACATCTACCTATTTATTTCCTAATTAAATCTCTAACTTTGAAAATATTTTATTCCAGATGTAGTGCCATTTTTCCTCCGTGTGAAGAAACTTAGCATCGAAGCCGTTCCCACACATATGTTTATTTACCGCCACGAGTGCTGGGCAAATACTCGAGGCCTGGCACAATAAACAAGCAGCTCAGCTGAGCTCAGTCGCCCCACTGTCTCCAGTCCTTGGGAAAATTTACTCGCTCAAGCCGCTTAGTGCTGTAATTTTTCCCTACTGCCCATTGCACCCCGTCTCAAGGCAAATTAAATTGCTAAAAAAAAAAAATCACAAAAAAAAAAGTGCGGAGAAATGTGAAAAACTGTGGAGTGTGATTTTCCCTCCCAGCCAGGCTCAACGCCTCGGTTAATGATGCCGCTTTGTGGCCACTAAGTGTTTAACCTTCCAGGATCAGAGCCCAGGTCTGAGCCGAGACCCAGACAAGGACACATGTCCCATATATATATTTTACATGCGTCAAGTCTCGCCGTTCTGCTGACTGCACATGCTTAATTTTCCTTGGCAAATAAGCTTAAGACAAATTTTTGCGCTAGATTAATGAGTTCTTGGAATTGACGCGCCTTTGGAGAATAATATTTGCAAAGGCGAAAAAGGAAACTGCGGTGGGTGCGAAAATTGTTGCAAACAAGGGCTTATAAGTGAGGATTTTCAATGCTTAAGAAGTGCACTGGGGAAATAATATTATTTTTTATATATTTAAAGCAAAATTTGAGTGCAAATAGACATCATTAAACATAAAGAAAACATTTTAATAAAATAAATAAAAATCTCTTAAAGAACTCCGAATGTAAATTAAATTTTTATATTTAAGGCAGCTTTTTAAATGAAATTCTATTCAATTCTCTCTACTAAACACTTTAAGCTGGCCCACTTTTCTTTTTGAAGGCCAATTTAGCCATTAACTGTTATTATATTGGCAGCTGTTTGACTTCTATCAACATGTAAACATCCCTTGTTATTATTATAATTTTTTGTTGTTTCAAATATTTGCACTGGCCCCTAGAAAATGCCAATTAATTTTGGCCTTTGATGGTCACATTAGCCAGCTTACCAGGGCCATCATTGTGCCGTAGCTAAAATGTATAATATTAATATATGCGACCACCACATGAGGTCCTGGCTAAAATTAGATGAATCACTAGCGAAAGTGAGGGCCATGGCCCTGGGAGAAAGAGTCTCATTAGAGCATATGTAATTATGGAGTAATAAGCAGGACGCAATGTGTGCGTTTGAGTCAAGGATTTGCTGACACACCAACCATACCACCCACGGCTTTAATATTTTCTTCCCACGCATTCGAGTTTTCCATCAATGGCCAAACAATGTGCGGCTGCATAATATGCTTTCGTTTCCTCCGGCTAACAAACAAACAAACATCAAAATGGCGCAATGATTTTCATTCCCTCGCTGAGAGCTATTCTACACTAAGGAAAATGAATATAAACTTGAAGTAAATTAAATATAATTAGTAAAATTATTTAAGAACTCTATACAATCGATATAAATATGTCCTAAAAATTTTATTTAAATCTCAGTAAGCACCTTATTGGCCCCAATTTTGTTCTGTGTATTTATCCATACGTGGCCCAGTATTCGTTTTGTTTGGGTTCCGTTTTTATGCGTCGTCTAATGCCATCAGATCCCCTTTTCTTGGTGCGTTTATTGAACAGCAATGCAGAGTTGGCCATGGTCAGCACTTTGACACTGGCCAGCCAAGCTCCCCGTGCAGTTGTAATTGGCATATCTGTGACGGGAGCGAGCTTAATGTCTGAACCCTGCCAACCTTAGCACAACCCCAACCTAAACTTTAAGGTGTGACATCAACGTGGATGTGAGTACTTCTCAACTGAATTTAGTCAGCAACTTAACCCTCTAGTGCCCAAGACCGCCTCTAGACGGGCAATGTTAAAAACACCGTTATTTTATTATTTTCATTCCTTTTCACACGGTTTTCCGTTTTTTCTAATTCAGGAAAGTCCAAAAATTAAGTACGTTGCGTTTGGAATACATACTAGAGCTAGCGCAAGCTGCTGTATTCATTTGAAGTTGAAAATTTGTGCAAATCGGACAAAATAATTATTTTGTAGGTAATACAACATGTAAATACTTTTTTTAAAAATTCGAAAAAAAATAGAACAAAAAATTGTACTGTGTTTCTGACAGTCTCAATGACATTTATAATAAACATTTAAACAAAAAAAATTTTTTACCTAATTTTTTGTTGGCCTATCTTCCCAGAACTGCCTTCATGCGGTCCAAGGTTTTAGTCGTATAAAACTCGATCCGAGCAAAAGCAAAATTTTTTCCAAAACAAACATTCACTTTTGATACATACTGAATCCAAAAATAATTTTTTTTTTGAAAAAAAAAAAATTTGGGCACTAGAGGGTTAACACCATGATTTACTTGTGTAAAACGGGTGTTAACAGGGGATTTTCGGGCTTGAAAAAAAAGCAATCACAAGGCGAGCATAAAGATGACCACTGGTCAGGCCAAATCCTCAACTAAGCCATTTAAATTGCAAATCATGTGAGACCCCTTTTCCAGGGATTCTGGGAGCACACACGGGACACACACGGCACTAAAGAAAATATTGCCGGTTCAGCGACCTTTTCATGCCAACATTTTGCCACGGCTTTCATCTTGTTATTTGATTTATTTTTTTTTTGCTCTCTGTGTGACAGATTATCTAAAGTAACTTTCGTTTTGAAGTCCATCAGACCTATGTACAATATTTTTTATTTATTTTTCATTTGTCGCCAGTTGTCAAAGGCTTTTTAACGGGGGTTTAACTGGAATAATTTAGTGATGGCGATGTCTAAAAATAAATATTATTTGGAGTCCTTTTTGTAAAATCTAGGTGTGTGGGGGATTTTGATTGAATTGGGAAATAAACCGTTATTGGTATTATTTGTATAAAATATTATTTCTTATTTTCTTCTCTAAGACACTATAAAAATATGTTAATTTCATGAATTCCATCATAGTAAAGCTAAGAATCAAGGAATATATTATTTGTTATTAAAGGACCGAACTATAAAAACATCAAATCAATAAGACTTAGTCGAGAGTCCCTGAAAGGCATTGAGATTATTGTCACTTTAGTTTCTTACACAGAGAGGAGATGGGGGTGAGATGGAACCCTTGACATTCCTCTTTGTCAACCAAAGTGCCATATGGTGCCGGCGCTGGCAAAGCTCAGCCTGCTTTCTGTGGTCCTGGAAGGGACTGACTCATTTAAATAAACCCGAATTTATGGCGCCCACATACGCACGCACGCACTTTGAGTGATTGGGGCCGCTTAAACTTGGCTCACATGGATTCGGGCTGGCTGCTGATGCTGATGCTCCTGCTGCTGCCGCTTGGAAATTGGCTCGGTCGAGGGCTACTTCCGTTCCAACAATGGTGTGATTTATACGATGAGGGCGTATGGAAATTTCATTACATTCATGACAGTATTTTCTTTTTTTTTATGGCAACCGAAGGAGGAGGAACGAACACAACGGAAGTTTAGTTTATTCGAAGTTGTTGTCACGATCTGGCGGGACCTCTGATTGATTGCCCCTCATTGATAAGGTCTGTATGTGGTCTCCCCCGATATGCAAATCATTCAGTTCCGAGAGAAACTTTCTCGTCTCTCTGCCCGTCTCGGATTTTCTTAATTTTCATCTGCCAAATGACATTTGGCGTTTTATTGTTTGTCGCTGTTGCTTGGCTGCCTTGCCAGCTTGAAATTAAGTTTTCCCAGTTTGCCCAGTTTGCTCAGATTGCTGCGTTGCCATTCAGCAAAGGCGAAATTGCACCAAATTGAAATTTGTAACATCAAGCAACAAGCCAGGCAGCTGCGACTCAGTGACCCCTGCTACTCGGAATTGCCATGGTTAGATTTTGGCAAGGAGGAGTTACCAAAAAAATAAAATCCTTCTGCAGTTTGTGGCGAAAGGGAGGGACTTTGACTTCTTGGCGAAAAATGCACTTTTGTAAATGTGTTTCTTGCATATGGTATTATTTTTAAGGTTCAATGAAGAAATATAGAAAAAAAATATACTTTTTGTTATGGGTAAACTATATAATTACTCTCAAATAATAAACTTAAAATCTTTTCTTCTTATCTAGATAAAAGGTTTGTCTTCTCTTTTCTTAATCATATTTTTTAAAAGCCTAAAATATATTTTAAAATATTTTAAAAATCTATTCTAATGTCATCTGAAATACATAACTAAACTATTCTTTTCAGGGTATGTAAATATTTCTTATCGTGTTGTTGAAAACATCATTTTATAATATCATTCAAACTCTATGCATAATATAGAAACCAATGTGGGCAGCTGCTTCTACCATTTCTATAAATAAATTAGATTCGATGTCCACAGATATTGTTAGCTACAAAAAGTAATTTTTGGGAATAACAAATATAACTTTGTTGCATTCAAATTTGAAACGAAATTGCAAATGTAAATTCAGCTTCTGGTTTGTATTTTGTTTTAGATTAAAAAAAATATTTTTGTAATATTATATAGAATTATTTTATATATTTAGGTATTAGTTTTCCCTAAATATACCCAATAAAGGTATACTCTGGCTTGAATATATTTTCTTCAAACTTTTAAAATACCTATTTCAAGTCTCAAATCCCTTTAAAGCCTTACCCCTTCAATTGATTGACTCAAATATTAAAACTATTCTCCAAATCACATCTGTGACTTCAATTTCCAATAAAAAAAACTTATTTTAAAAAGTGAATATTATGGGAAAATAATAGCTCTTTCTCACACCCACCTCGTAAAAGTAGAACGAATTTAAATTGTCCAATTCACCCGGGTGGATGGACGAGGAGTTGCCAACGCCGCCGCCGGCTGCTTCTAAGTCGTGACTTGGCGCCGCTGTCGTCTGGACCATTGTGGCCGCCGCTGAAGGCGTCGTGGTTGCTGTTGTTGTTGTTGTGGCTGGCGCCAGCATCACGTGTGATATCGCAGGTGTGAAATATGTCAGATTAACTGCTCCCAATGTGGGCGCTACTGCCACGCCCACGTCCAATCCGCTGCCGCCGCTGGCATTGAACGCTCGTTCCGTGGCCGCCGCTCCCGAGGACGAGGCACTGGACTCCGAGGCGGAGGCCAGGGCGTAGTAAAGGGAGCTATCGAATAGCCTTAAGTGCAACATGCTGATGATAGCGCCTCGACTCAGTCTGCCATTATGCCTGTAATGAGAAAATTAACAGCGAAAATTAACGTGGAAAATGGGGAAAGGAAATTAAAAGAGTATTTAAAATATATCTGGAGATATATGTTATGACCTGAACCAGGAGAAAGGGAGCCTTACAAATGCTTAAAAACACATAAATCCCAAATGAAAAGCTGCGTAATAAATGCTTTAAGTACTTTGCTAGCCAGCCGCCGGCAAATGCAGAAATATTTGCTTCAGTTAACATGGCTTTTGTGTGTAAATTTCGGGACCCAGCAGGTGCAGGATTGTTGGCCTGTTATTAATATCGCGCATACGCCGCGTGCGCCGCGCGTTTTTCAGAGGGTTGATGTGCTGCGAGTTGAGTTGCTTAATGTAAGCTTGGAACTTGATTCCTTTTTGGTATTTGTTATTGCTCGTAAGCGAGCACCAACACCGGAATGATACTGATAGCAATTATCCTAACTTCTATTGTCATAGGGCTTTACACTAGGAAAAAATTGGTAAGGTATTATTTGATATTAAAATCGGGAAAAAATTTGAATCTCTTTGCTAATAATTTCTTAATTTTTTAAACCTAAACATGGACTAATTTAAGTAGTTATAACAATGATATGTGGCGAAAATTTATAAGAAATTATTTTATTTTATATTTTAAAAAGTGATTTTATACTTTCAAATGTCTTTTAATATTTTTATATATATTTTTTGTTATGATTTGCTGATTTTAAAACTTCTGTCCTTGAGTTTTATTCTCTCAGTGCATCAGTAGTAACTGCTCAGTGATTTGGAATAATTTATGACACTAAACGCGTGTCAAGTAATACCCCAAAAACGTGTCCTTAATTGAATTAAACATCCACGCACATGACTTGACCCCTCCGGACAGGAATTCTAACAATTAGCAGCCAACAATAGACATTTAGACCCCCAGATAGCACCGTCACGTCGTTTGTTGGCAAACAAAGGAACTCCAAAGCTGGTGAACTTTGCCGTGGCCCCTTGGAAAATTTATGCATGCATATGTGCCCCATGTCTGGGTTACATATATCCGACCCCTCGACATCTATACTGTCCCTGTTCGTTGCTCTGTGGCTGCAACTTTAAATTGATTAGCCGCAACTTTTTGCGGGAGGCCCTCTCAAACGACGTGCCCGAAATAAATTTTCCTTTAAAATGCCAAAAGGAAAAAAGAGAGAAACTTTTGTTCGCTGCAGCCAGGTATTTTGGCCACTAATGCGAGCACGCAACTATTTTGCCAATGATTTATATTAAAAACACAGACGCACGCATCCGTCTGGGTCGCCACCGCCTTCCTGCCTGCCTGCCAGCCAGCCTTCCTTTCTGACACATTCAATTTGGTCGAGGGCACAGCTGCTCCTCAGCGGGATAGTTTCCCTTTTTTATTTTGCATTAATTTTTGGGGAGGAGGAGGAGAGTGGAAGATGAGCACCACATGTCGCCGCTTTGGCTTTTGCAAATTTATCATTAGCCCCGCCTCCCTCAAGTTGTAAAATTTCATACAATTTTAGTTTCTAAGAAGTAAAAGGGGATTTGGCTCAGAAACTTTGAAAATTTCTATTTAGAAATCTCTGAATTTATATTTATATTATTTTATTTATATTCTTTAATAAATATTATAATTATATAATTGAAATTAATAATTATTTTTTGTAATTAATCTCTAAAAAACTCCCTCTCAAAGTAATTGAAAAACTTAAGAAATATGACTCCCTGACAACTTGTCGAATGCCCATGGAAAAGCCCGTAAGCCGGGTTCCTTATTATTTACATATGTAAATGGCTCAAAGAGCTTTGAAGTATTTTTGGACGTTGAATCAACCCATTTGAGCTTTGCATAAGTTCGTCTTGGTATTAAAGTTTTAGGCCGCTGATAATGCGCATTTAATTTGCATGCAAAATAGCCAAAAAAGGAGTCTAGCCCGTGAAAACACCTCCTCACACCTCTCATTGCCCTCAAATCCCGACTTCTTGGCCTTGAGAGAGAGAGCTCGGAGGTAGCTGACAGGGAGAAGTGAAAAAGAAGCTGAATTTGATTGACATATTTTGAGTAAGCTGTCAGTTGAGCCAACACTTTTCTTGGCACCGAATTGACTTAAGATACTGCCATTGGCATCTTTTCTACAGAATTGGCGCTAAAGCCGTCGAGCAGCATTGAATTTGATTGTGAAAATCACAGAAGCGTTCAAGAGGATTGCAATATAATAGCAACAACGAGTTGATCAACAATGAAAGGTGTGTCCTTAAGGCAACGAAGTTGAGTCTGAAAAGTGAGCAGTTCTTTAGGGTTTATTGTAACAAAACAATAAGAAAAAGGTTGTAAATCTAACTAAAAATATAATAAATATATTGTTTACAAATTAATAAAGTTTATATTAAAGTTTTAGAATCTATTTTAAATATTTGAACATATACAAAATTTACAGAATTTTCAATAGATCAAAATTGTCTTTAACAATTTAAGAAAATATCTCTTCTACTTTTCCTAATCCCTTTAAGTCCCAACCTAAATGTTCAGATGCAGATTTTGATCCTTCTGCTAAAGTGTTATCTTCGTCTAGCGAATCTCAGCTCCGAAACTTGGCACAGGACTCTGGCCTTTGTCTGCTGCATTTATATTTCAGCAAACTTTGTGCAACGTTGCGTATGAGTCATAAAAGTCAAAAGCATCTGGCTTTTGTTCTTCCCGAGCCACTTGTGCTGCATATTTATGTTACGTTGTTGTTGATCTTTCTTTGTTTTTTTTTCCGTGGAAGGACGAGGACATTATATAAACCATTACGCTGTCTGCCCCGGAGTCACTTTTAATGTGCTCCTCTGTGACAATTGTGGAGCACATATTGCTCTGGGATGGGCCAAATGGCGTCGTCATGGTGCCTCAAAATGAAAAATTGATTTCACAGCGGAAAATATGGCAAGGCATGGCACTAACTTTATTGGGTCACTCCATCCAGCGTCCACCCAAGAGCTCCTTGCGTGTGCTCTCTCAGTCTTTCTCGTTATGTTTATGGCCTGGACAATGCACGCGGCACGATTCTCCGCCGCATGCAATTGCAGTTCGTGGCAATCAGAGTCTCATAACGACCAAAGTTTAGTATTTCATTTCAATTTTATGGAGCATGACGGCTGCACAAAGGACATAACTTGAGATTGAGCCGGGAAACTTGGTAATAATATACTAGACAGATTAATTTTCATTACAATCGCATTCGGTTCACATTCGATACCTTGATTATGGGCTAGGAGCAGACTAATTGACAATTCGACAAACCATTCGGGGCGTCTCTAAAAATCCACTTAAGACGCGCCCCCCCTGTCTTTTAAGTGGCCACTAAATTTAAATCTAAATGACAGACATAGTCGGCCCCCGAAATACTGAAAATACACACGCAAATTCGAAATAGTAGCCGAAACTGGATATCCAGGCTCGTTTGGTTGTCTCGCAGTGCTTCTCAGCCGTCTTGTTTCGTTTTGTTTTCTTAAATTGTAAATAGACGGGGCGGCGAGCAAATTGAAAAGTTGCAGGCCCCGCCATGGAGGAGGTGTGGCCAAAGTGGCAGGTGGCAGCAGGGTACCAGGAGTGTGTGTGTCTACAACTTTTGTGGCCCCTTCGGAATGGTCTCCGTTGGCCAAAAATGCCGACTCGTCTTGGCAAACGTGCCAGCGAAGTTACAGTGGGGTATAACATGGTGAAAATTAAACTATTGTTGGGTTTTTAGAGAGCAAACTTAGCTTAGTATAAGGTATAACTTTCACAACAGTTTCACTGGAAATCCTGAAATAATTCAACGATTTATACTACGGTCTAATTCGTTATTCTACCTCAAAATTAATTAATTAATAATTAATTTTATTATCTTTCTAGTTAACTATATATTTTTCAAGTAATTTTTGGAGCAACAAATTACCCTATTAGTTTTCCTTTTTCCTAAATTTATAGTTTCATAAAGAAAGAAAAGCCACCGTGCAACGCTTGGCAGCGGCGCCATTGAATAGCATTTTATTTTATTATTGCACACAGCATGCTCGCTGGCTGCTTGTGTATTTATATTCAAATTTGTAGCACCTGTAAAACAGTTTGCGAAACAATGAAGACGCCGCTAACGCCGCCGCCGCCAGACGTCGGTGAGGGAATGTCAGCTGCTGCCCCTTCTTAGCCATCAACCTTTTCCCGGAGAAAGTTAGACAAATGTATGTAAATGCAGAGGGGGCGGCGAAATTGCGTCAAGACATTTGCCACACGAGATTAAGTCTTCCTTTGGCCCGGTCCATGATATGTTTAAAGTTTGACTTCTTATCGGCCAGCCAGACCTTAAGAATGGAGCTCAGGGATAGGGACGACTGACTGACTCTCTTGAAGGCCACGTGCTGGAGGTGAGCCCAAGTTAAATCCTGTGCCTTAGACATGATTTTCCTTTCGCCTAGCAATCACACAAAAGGAAAAGTTAAGAGAATTGCGTATACGACGCGTTGCCTTGACACCTTGCGTGGGCAGCTGGGAGCTCAGACGAGGGGGAGGGAGGCCCTGAGGTGCACATTTGTTGTCTTCTCTCCTATATTTAAGCAAGAACAATACCATTTATTATGAGTTTATACCATAATTTATAAACACTTTTAACCCCGTCGTCTATCTGCGTCGTCTGTCTGTCAACTTTTCCTAATATGTGAACAAACTCTTAGGCGTTTGATTGATTTTTGGCAGCAAAAACCAGAGTGACAGGGCCATGAAAAGTGATATCTGCATAGTGTTTTGGAGTGTCTGGCTAAGTAGACTCTCCTTTCCACATGTCTTTGTTAATTGAATGTCTCTTTAAAGACAAAATTCAATTTATTTAAAGCCCAAACATTACCTTCTTTTATAAGTTATTCCCAATTTCGTTGAGTGTGGGCGTCCAGCGAAAGGTGCGAATAAAAACACAGTCATAAATTGGCCGAAATAATTAATTCGAATGAAATAAATGCCGAGGTCCGAAGCTGAGGGTTGGGGTTAAGTCT